CTTCGCCTGTTTCATCACCGGCTGGGGGATCATGGACTGTAAGTCGAGTCGAGTTGAGTAGACAAGGGCAAAGTACAGTAGAGTAGAGCAAAATATAGTACAGCATGGTTAAAAAAAAAAAAAAAGTTAAAAAAATAGAATCTGGTCAGGAAGCTGTTTTCCACGTGAAATGCATGTCATTCTGTCCAAATACTTCCAAACACTAATGACATTGACTCGTGCGTTTGACCAGACGAAGCATCAAGCATCACGCCAGACATCCTGCAGGTGGCCCCCATCAAAGTGGTGGAGCACTCGGTTTGTTCCCAACCGGAGTGGTGGGGGAACATCGCTCTGAGGAGCATGGTGTGCGCCGGAGGGGATGGAGTCATCTCAGGCTGTCAGGTACAAATACATGCGCCTTCCGCAAGCCACCAGTCTTCTTTAAAACCACTTATTGTGGCATGATTGTGTGTATTCTCACCAGGGCGACTCTGGAGGACCTCTAAACTGCTTCACTGACGATGAGTGGAGGGTCCATGGGGTGGTCAGTTACGGTCCGTCAGGCAGGTGCAACCAAGTTTCCAAACCCACAGTCTTCACCCGAGTCTCTTCCTTCCAAGACTGGATTTATTCCGTAAGCACCCACGTATACGTACACGTCATTTGTCAACGGAGCCCCTAAGTAATTTCCTCAGAAATATTGCAAGATAACGAAAAGTTTTTTGGTTTTTTTTTTTTTTTTATTGTAAGGGGACGCTCTTTTTTTAATGCGTGTTTTTGTACTTCCGGGTCAGGTTAGCTAATGTAGGCTCTCGTTCGCGGCTGATTGGGTGACGGACACTACTTCGGGGAAGGGGAGAATTGTGGAGTAGGACTCGGAAACTGTATTTAAGCTCAAGAACAGATTTAATGTCTTTGTATTTCAAGGCAATTTCAAAGTAAAATTCCGTTAAATTCCTATCCATGTTTGGTTTTTCAGTTACCCGGGAGATGACCCGGAAGTACATCAACACGTATTAAATAAAAAGCACCCCTTGCAAAAAAAAAAAAAAAAAAAAAAAAAAGTTTGCGTTATCTCGCAATCTTTGCGGGGAGAATACAATCTTTGCGAGGGAACGCAACGTTTTTTTTTTTCTTCCATGTCTACTTAGGGGCTCCGTACTTATCCAGTGATCATTGTTACTTCATCTTTGTTTTTTTCTATGCTTTCCACACAGGTTATTGATGGTGCATAAGCAGCACACCTGGGGAGTCTACAGGGTATCAAATAAAAACTATATTTAAGAAAAATGCTGCATATTTTGTCCACAACTGATGTCTGTCTTCATTTTGGGTTTCACATGTTGAATCACGGTCACTTTATGCGAATAAAGAATTTTGAGAAGGCATTCCAATCATAAAACTACAAGGCATTTTATTTTGTGGAGGGGATAACATGACTAGATAGAAATATGCAAATGTGAGCTCTTCTAGATGACGTTTTTTTTTTTTTTGTGAACATCTTAAATCTAAACGAGTCTATGTGTCAAATCAGTAATCGTTTTTTGAACAATAGGTGGCAGTGTTTACGCTGCTAACCACCGTTCAACATGACTTGGCTAAAGAAGAAGAAAAGGCGGAAGTTAGCATAGCATCCAACGCTTCAAGTGGACAACATAGCGTCAAGTGTCGTTGTTGTTGAACTTTCTGAATCACTGTCTTCTTAATGTTGAGGAAGTTGGTAAGGAAGCGTCTAGTTGCGGCCGCCGACAAAATATTTTCCCTTTTTCAAAAACTGATATTCTCGTACGAGAGCGAAAAAGACAAGGAAGGCCCTCAAGATAGCCCGAGAACATGTTTGCAACACTGAAATTGTCTTACGCTTTGAAGGTCAGCTCACAAATTAAACTTCGACCTAATGTTATAGAAACAACGTTTTGTTTATCTTATCAGAGTGTGCAAAACGTTACGCTAATTGTGTCTGTTTTGCAAATAATAAACAAGTGAGACCAAAACATGAAAGCTGTGTTATGAATGGAGCTTACCAGGTTTATTTCCTTACTACAAAAATTTTCCCTTTGCACCAAAGTTAGTTAACTGTCAAAACAACGGCACGATCGTACTGCTAAATATAGGATGATGTGATCGCGTTTACTACAAGTTCATTTGAACTGTATGCGTAAAGACACATTTACACTGTAAAAAGGATATGCTTTGTTCCCATTGTTTTGTGGCTAAACAAACCGTTTCTGTGCTCGGGCCTGCTACCAATGCATTTTTTTTTACCTTGACCAGTCTGACGTAATTCAAATTTTCATAGCTTCATCATACTGTGTTTGTTTCACCTGTCCTGCAGACGTCCGTCAGCTGATAGGTCATGGGGAAGCACTTCAGCCCTCAGCTGCAATTGGTGGAGCATCAGTTCAGCTTAACAGACTTCAGATGACTGATGTCCCCATGAAGAGTGAAACCGAACCATTCGAGGGGTCACAGAATCATTTGCACAGTCCAAGTGGCGGACCACCAGCAGACAACCTCTTAGCTCCACAGTCAGACAGCGACGGCATGGCAAAAACCTGCAGGAGCAAGGGAGACTGCGAAGGTGACGACAAACAGTTGAAATGTTGTGAAAAGAAGACAATGCTTTGCAGAAACGAAACCTCACAAATGTATAAATTGTGTTACCCGTTCAGTTTCCAGAATTTTTTGCCCCTAAACTGAGTAACGCATATTTAACCTGTTCGCGCAATCCAAACTGTATTTGTGTTGCTCGTGTTCTTGCAGACATCCAGCGGCTAACTGGCCGTCAGGAACATCCACAGGCCCGCCATGTTAAAGAAGAAGAGGGAGCTACACAGCCCTCCCACTTTAAGAGCGAAGAGGATGATCCACACCTCCCCTACGTTAAAGAGGAAGAGGAGGAGTTGGATGTCAGCCACTTGCCGCTGACTGTCGTCTTTGTCAAGAGTGAAGACGACAAATACGAACTAGCCGAACGGTCGCAGCTTCCTCGTCAGAGTCCAAGTGGAAAAAATTGTGGGCGACCACCACCGGGCAACCTCTTAGCTCCTTTGTCAGACAGCGACGACATGGACGAACCTTTAAAGAGCGACAAAGTCTGCGAAGATGACGACAAACAGTTGGAATGCTCTGAAAAGGAGACAAGTGTGAACGGGCATAAAAGGCCTTTCAGCTGCTCGATTTGTGGTAAAAAGTTTACCCGGAAGCCAAACATGGTAGCACACGTGAGAATTCATACAGGAGAAAAACCCTTCAGCTGCTTAGTTTGTGCCAAAACATTCACTCTAAAAAACGGCATGATAAAACACATGAGAACACACACTGGGGAGAAACCGTTTAGTTGCTCGGCGTGCAGCAAAACATTTTTCTTTAAACAAAGCTTGAGAACACACATGACCAAACACGTTGGAGGAAAACCCTTTAGTTGTTCAACTTGTGGGAAAACCTTCGCTCAAAAGATCAGCATGGAATCGCACGTGAGAACACACTCCGGAGAAAAACCTTTTGTTTGCCTGTTGTGCGATAAAACGTTCTCTCAAAGTCCACATTTAGAATCGCACATGAGAACACACAATGGGGAAAAAGCTCTCGTTTGCTCGTTGTGTAATAAAACATTCTATCAAAGGGGACATCTGGAATCACACATGAGGACGCACACGGGGGAAAAACCTTTTCTTTGCTCGTTGTGTGGTAAAACATTTGCTCAAAAGGCACATCTAAGATCGCACGCGAGGACACACGACGGCGAAAAACCCTTTGCTTGTTCAGTTTGCGGTTCAACGTTCTCCCGGAAGGAAACCGTCAAATCCCACATGATTATCCACACGGGAGAGAAGCCCTTCAGTTGCTCATTGTGCGAGAAAACATTCTTTTTTAAGCAAAACTGGAGAGCACACATGAAAACGCACACGGAAGAAAAACCTTTTAGTTGCCCGTTCTGTAATAAAACATTGTATCAAAAGGGACATTTGGAATCACACGTGAGAACGCACACGGGAGAAAAACCATTCAGTTGTTCGATTTGTGGCGGAAGCTACGCTCATCGCAGCAGTTTGGCCGCACACATGCAGACCCACGACTGAGGCGGGACAAATGTTGGATAAGTCTCGTGGAAATCACAACTGAATGTGTATTCTTATAAAAACCTGGAAATTCAATTGTTTGGCACGTGGAAAAAAAATAAAGCTGAACAAAAAATTGTCGTCTGACAAACACTTTATTTCGTGTTGGTTTAATTTGCGGATAGGTGCCGTTTTGTGACGAGAGGGTGACAAAACTCATGCAGTTATCCTTGAAGGTCAGTAGAGGGCGGTCATGCGCATGTCATTTGGAAACGCATTCGGAACAACCAAGTCGAAGAAAAGGGGCCGTGAGCATAGAGTAGCATCCAATTACACATCAAAGCCAATCTCGTTTGAGATTTCTACAATATGTTAATGTTGAAAGTAAGTAAGAAGGCGGCGAGGTGCGGCCATCGACGACTTATTGGGACTGTTTGGAAGAGTCGAGCGAGAACGACGGTTACTGGAAGCTGCTTGCACTGAACTGCGTCCAGCTTGGAACTGTTTTTCACTTGACCTATAGAGGGCTCAGTCCATTTAGCAATTACCCACAATGCACTTACCGGCGGCCATATTGGAAGGCTGTTATAAACAAGCCATACACCAGGGGTGTCAAACATACGGCCCGCGGGCCGGAACCGGCCCGCAAGTAGGTTCAATCAGGCCCGCAGGATAATGTAAAAGTGAAAAAAATGCATTAAAGACACAGAATTAATATTTTTAATCAGGTGCAATTCATTGAGTATCCGCAAGGGGACACTGTTTTGATCAGAAAAGAAGACAACAGCAGCCTCAGTCTGTCACTGAGACAGACCCATGACAGCAGACGCTATCAATAGCACTCTCAAATTTACACATTTAATAGCACTCTCCTTAGTTTGTAAGGTGTAGGCAGGGATTACATTTAGATTTTATATGCACGTGTAAATGCTTTAAAACTTGCTTTCTTTATGAATCTTGTTTAATCTTAAAGTGCATTACTATATTTTTCAATACCAATTACTTGTTAAAGTTTGTACAATCAGTGGGATCAGTTGCAATGCATATATGTGAATGATAAAAGTAAATTGCACATTTGTCGAAGGAAATGTAAGGTGCTTCATGAAATGTTTTGTAAAAGATATGTTCATTAAATTTCAACATTTTCCTAATGTTCTTGTGCTTCTTTATACCAAAACAAAGGAAAGACATATTGTTTTGGTTATTTATAGCAAAGTATTGTATCATTTTAATGGTCCGGCCCACTTGACATCTACCGAGGCCGTATGTGGCCCACCATGTGAAATGAGTTTGACACCCCTGCCATACACGAAGTCTATTCGTGTATGGCTTATGCTTTATTTACTGATGTTTTACCGGACAAATGAGAAATGAAAAAATACTGGTCACGTGCCGCCGTAGTTTAAAGGTGACCTGCTTTGTTATATTAAATTTTTTTTAATAGTTTTTTTTTTTTTTGTGAAAGCGAAACTGAGAGATTTCTTAGGGTTTCTTAGGGTGCAATGTGCACTAACACAAAAATATACAATATTAATAACATGCACACAGAAACACATCTTAAAAAAACTTTTTTTTTTTAAATCTTTTTTTACCTAGACCCGCCGCATCAACTTGGCACCAGTTCGCGGGCTACCGGTCGATCGCGGGCTACCGGGCCCCACTGATGTAGAACATTGTCAATTTTAAGTAAAACTTCAAAAGAGAGCTACTATAATATTTTTAATTCCCCGCCCCCCCACCAATATAGAGGAGGCTTAATTTAAATTAGGGCTGCACAACATATTGAAAAAAATATTCTCATTGCGATAACAGCACATGAAGTGCAGAATGCAAAAAAATGTGCAATGAATTCATATGGAATATACTTTAACTTCCTTTGACCAATCAGATGCATGGACAATGCGCATCGCCATCCAATAGGAGACTGGTTCCAGGGGCACTATTTTCACCAAATTACTTAATCAGATAAGAATCCATTCATATTTTTGCACATGAAAAAATATACATTTCTTTGGATATTTCTTTAGCTACATCTTAAATATCGCAATAATATCTGTAGGTGCCAATTTGACATTGGCCAACTTTTGTTTATTCTATTTGCTGTTTAGTATTGATATGTCCAAATGGCATATTTCATAATTTAGTAGAAATAGTCGGCACTGTTATTTTATGCATCTCTGAGTTTCTTTTACAGAACTATTTGTTGTGACGTCACGCGACTGGCGGATGAAGACAGTGTGGAGAAGGAGACAGAGACAGAGAGAGATGAGGCCAGCTCAAGAGTAGAAGCGATACAGTTTTTTGACCATACAATACGATACATACACTACAGACATATAATACCGACAATTAGACAAACTGAAGAGAACCTTTTTTGTATACTTTATTTTTTAATAAACAGAAAATACAAAGAAGCCAATGTCGTGTTGTTTGCGTTCAAGACTCGTCGTTACGCTGGCCTCAAAAGGTACAACGGAATAGCACCGACAATATCAATATTATAATTTCCACCATGTGCCATCTTTGAGTATCATTTCTTGATTTCGAGGCTGGGATGAGTGTCCCGTTTTTTTTTTTTTTAGATCAAAATAGGGTCACGTGACTTAATGGGGATGTACAAAGCTTTACATCCATGTTGTCTGTTGAGCAAAAATGTGAGACCAGAATGTCGAAATAAGTTTAGGAACCATCCATCTATCCATCCATCTTCCGAACCGCTTTAGCCTCACAAGGGTCGCGGGGCATGCTTGAGCCTATCCCAGCTGTTTTCGGGTAATAGGCGGGGGACACCCTGAACCAGTTGCCAGCCAATCGTAGGGCACACAGAGGACATACAACCATCCGCGCTCACACTCCCACCTTGGGACAATTTTTAGTGTTCAATCAGCCTGCCACGCAAGTTTTTGGAATGTGGGAGGAAACCGGAGTACCCGGAGAAAACCCACGCAAGCACGTGGAGAACATGCAAACTCCACACAGGAAGACTGGAGCTGGGATCAAACCCACGACCTCTGCGCTATGAGGTCGATGCGCTAACCACTGGATCACCGGGCCGCCTAGTTTCAGAGCCAGTGGGTTTATTTCACCACGTTCCCTGTTAAAATAATGATTCATTCGTAAAGGCATGAGTCTAATTTGCGATCACTTCATTTCAGCTACATGTGCACATTTCTTTTCATGTTCACGTTCCATCTCTTCCTGGCTAACTATGTGCACTTAGGTTTGCCACCAGCATGTCCTTTTAGTTTTGGGAAAAACCCAATTTTGACAAGTGTGACTGACCTTCCGCTTCTCATACCAATATCGTATTTGACCCGGATCATCTAAAAGGTGTTTTTCTTGTTCTGCCGATATCCAGAAGCTGCATTCCACAGCCTGACCATCGAACCTCAGCGAAGCATCTTAGACTGTCACGGCGATGTGGAAAAAGTTGACATTGTGCGAAAAGGAAGAACGAAATATGCAGCCCAACCACGTTAAGGAGGAAGATGAGGATCCAGCACATGGCCGCGTTAAAGAGGAAGAGGAGGAGACTGATGTCACCAAGTTGCCACTGACTGTCTACGAAGAATGAAGACGTTGAAAAGAACCCACCCGAGCGGTCATCGCTTCATCGTCACAGTCCAAGCGGAGACCACTGAGAAGAAAACCCACCAGACAACGTCTTGGCGCTGCTGTCAGACAGCGGCAGGTCACAAGAATAATCTTTCCGGCGCGGCGGAGCATGCGAAGTTGACGGTTAACCGTTGAAATGCTCTGCAAAGGCGACAAATCCAAAGGAGAAGAAAACTTCCCGACGTCGCACTTGGGACGAAAATTTCAGCTGCTCAATTTGCGGTCGGCGATTGGCCAAAAGGCAAACGTTGCGGCCCACATGAGAACACACATGGGTGAAAAACCTTTCAGTTGCTCAGTTTGCGGTCAAGCCTTCACTCAAAAGTCAAACGTGGTCAAACACATGAGTAGGCACACAGGCGAAAAGCCTTTTCGTTGTTTGCGGTGCGGCAAAACGTTGACTTCGTCGCACAGTTTGGAAACACACATGAGATTACACACAGGAGAAAAACCTTTTAGCTGCCCAGCTTGTGGCAAAACCCACCAAAAGTCCAACATGGCGTCGCATGTCAGAATTCACATGGCAGAAAAACCCTCTCGTTGCTCCGTTTGCAGTATGGTATTCGCCCAAAAGCAAAGCATGTTACAGCACACGAGAACGCACGCAGGCTGAAATCCCGTTTGTTGCTCAGTTTGCGGTCGGACGTTCACTCAAAATCAAAGCATGCTCAAGGAAACGAGAACGCACGCAGGGGGAAAACCCTTCCGTTGTTCAACATGTGGCAAGGAGTTCTACCACAAGGTTAGCATGCGGCTCCACATGAGATCACACACACACACACACACACACACACACACACACACACACACACACACACACACACAGGAGAAAAACATTTTGTTTGCTCCGTGTGTCGTAAAACCTCTCAAAAGGCGCATCTGCGATCACATATGTGGACGCACGACGGAGGTAAAACCCTTCCCCTGTTCAATGTTCTCTCGAAAGCAGCGTGTCAAGTCACACATGTGAGTCCACATGGGGGAAAAACCTTTTGGCTGCTCATTATGTAAGAACACCTTTCATCAATAAGCACATCTCGAATCACACATGAGGAACGCACACGGGAGAAAAACCTTTTAGCTGTGCGCTGTGCAGTGGAAGGTTTGCTCATTGGAACGTTTTGTCTGCGTACATGCGGGCACAGTACTAAAGGAGAAGACTTTTTTTTTGACAGTCGTTCCGCTCAATACGCTGTATCGTTCTGATGGAATGAGCATTTTTCTGAAAAGCTGTCGATGCCACACTTTGGACGGAGCTCGGAAGCAGACCTTCATTCATGTCGAGAAAGTCGTCCACCATTATACAATTTTTCAGGGACGGCGGTTACTACAGTGGACAGCTCATCATCTTATCAGGTTACAGGGTGAATGAAAGGGTTAAAGTGATTGTGATCAATGATCTGTGAAACAAATAAAGATGGGGGGGGGCGTTCTTCTTACGTATCTAATCAAATGTCGTGGAGACAGAAGATATTTTATTTTGAAAAGTCACCGGATTCTGTGTTACATCCGTCTACAATATGTCGTTCTTGACGGAGGTCAAGGCGGCCTTCTCGGTCACTTGATAGGTTACCGAAAGATATTTATTTTGAAAAATTACCGGATTCTGTGTTACATCCGTCTACAATATGTCGTTCTTGACGGAGGTCAAGGCGGCCTTCTCGGTCACTTGATAGGTTACCGCTAAAATGAAACCCAGCAGCGAGCAAAATGAGTAAAAAACAAACGGCTGAGCTTCGTTTGGGAGACTCTCTTTCGAAACTTAGAGACAATTTCAGCCTTCACAGACTGCTAGATTTGCTTCCGTTTACCAGACGGAGTGCAGCCTGCCTCCAGCAGTATCAGTAGCGTTGCTTAGCAACGGAGGGGAACCCCATGCCGTAACATTTTGTTCATAAGCAAGGCCGCTGCGGCAATTAACTTCTTTTTTTGTCGCAACGAAGGCCTTTTTAAACTATTTTGTGGGGAAAATCCGGTCGTTAGAATGAAGTTTACGTTACAAAAGTCTTCGTCGTAAACAAAATCGGCAAATGGAAAATGAATGACGTGAAATCTGGACTTTGATATATCAACGTTGTAGGGATGGAGACGCAAACAGGGTACGTTGAAAAGAGGTTCAACCGTATAACATGTAATTAAGAGCACAAAAAAAATGGCATAACCACAAGTACTTAATAAAAGCTGTCAAAATGATTCATTGTCTGAAACATTGCCAATGGGCCTTTCTTACTGTACCTACATAAATTACTGACACAATTTAAAAAAAAAAATAGACTTGAAGGTTTTAGACAACGCAGGACCAAATTTTAACTAGAACTGAAGAAAATAACACAGCAATAGTTACAATCCAAAGAGGCCCCAAATTTGAACTTCCAATCAAAATGAGCGACTGGCCCCACCCACAGGTCAAGTTACCATCAAATTAATCATAAAAAATTAAATACAACAAATGAAAATGTATTTTAGCAAATTACTTAAATGGACCTTTCGTCCTCTAGCTTCATGCGAACATTATCGACCGTTGTAACATTCCCTTTAATTCTATTATTGCTGTATGTTTTTATAAATTCCAAAATTGCACAATGCCATTTTTTAAAATTGTCTTTACTGGGAACAGATTAAAATGATACATACACTTCAAGCTGTAATTTAAAAAACAAAACAGGAGTCAAGCATTTAGAAAACATTTTATAATTTCGAGGGACAGGCTGTCAAAATGGCTTGGATGAAAAGTCTGTCAAACAACAGGTTTAAAGTGGGAGCACGTAAAAAATAAAGCAGCTCTTGTTTGCTCTGCGGGAGCGTTGAAGCAGAAATATGTACATAAACAACAAAGGCTTGAAAAATGTATCCCCCCCAAAAAATGTAAGACACGTTCTTTGAAGTGGAGGTATTGAAAAAAAAAAGCAGTATGCTTAATTAATACATGACATTGATCAACACTCACTGTTGCAGTTTCTTCATGGTTTTGTACAAGCACGGCATCATTGGATGGAATTTAAAAAAATGAATATAAAAAAGAAAAAAAAAAGGCAAAAGCAAATACAATTTCAAATTGCTGCACTTTTCCAAAGTATACAATTCTAATCCAGGCTTCAACAAGTCTGCATGCATTATTTTGGCAATTAGAAGGTGGGGAAGCTTTGGGGGGGAAAAAATAATGCACCTTTTTAGAATTTGCATGGCGGTCACGGAGGAAAAAAAAAATCCTCACGAATGTGGCGGGTTCCCCACCGCTGCTTAAAAGGGACGTCTCGACAAAGCTGCCGGAACAGCTGCAAAACTGAAGCGTGTATATGTACATGGGCTCTCCAGCTGCCCCTGTCACATGAATTCTCCCTCACTGTTGGAAACAGTACTTTAAAAGCGCCATCGTACTGGCGAATTGTCTAGAAAGATTCCCTGGAGTGCCTGACGACCCATCAAGTGTGAAATGAAACCAAGCAAATCGTATTTTCTGAAAATGTGTCAGAGTGAAACATTCTGAATTCAACCGAATTGTGACGTCACAAATAAGCCTGCGACGGCTTCGCACGACCGATATTCGTGCAGTCTGGTCGCAGAGATCGTCTCAGAAGCACCGATAACGCCACTAAAAGTTTTAAAAAATAAAATAAAATAAACTGCTGGATAGACACTTCCCGTGGGAATAATGTCATAAAGTTGGCAACACAGTCGGGACCCCCATACGTCATCAAAAACGCGCTGGCTCCGCCCCCAGTCATCATGAGAACGTACAGCTGAATTCGACATTTTAATGAGAAGGGAACCTTCCTCGCCGCAAAATGGCGTCGTTTTAATCTGTTTTTAAATCTTCATCCTTTAGAAACCTGGGAAGCGTTTTCAACAATCTGCTCCTTCAAAACGAGGCAACTTCTTCGCATCGAGGGTTCCGCACGCAAGATAAAAATTGTATAATATATACAGTTTTTATCAGGCAATCTCCCCCCTTTTTCAAATGCTCTGACCCGACTCACAGACTTCCGAGAAAAATTCAGAATACAATCAAATCGATCCTTTTTGAGCGCCACCTCGTCGAAAACTGCCCGTGAAAAATACTTCACACCATAAATGGAATATAATTTCTATATCATAAAGGTTGCCCCCCCCCCGATTGAAAAAAATTCTGCTTAATAAAATAGTCAATTTGTCAGTTTCATTAGAATTCTCTGTCAGTCTACATAAATTACTTACAAAATATTAGTAATTTCTCTATGGTTACATTACATAAGCAGAAATACAACAAATGCCATAATTTAGAGATTTTTTTTTTTTTAAAGGGTTCCACAGTTTTCTTGCTTGGCTTCCACAGCTCAATTTTTATTGCCAAAAGAATTAAATAACATAACTGTTGATATAATAAGTTAGTCAGCAAATAGATATTAAATACTTTTCTGATGGCCTTTTTCCGATAAGGATTCCTAAAAAGTAAAATAAAATAAAAATTGGAAATGAGGACGATTGCACTTGACGGTTGTGAAAGAAATGAAGCACAGTGCTTCTTGAGTGGAAAATAAATAAGAATCATTGCAGGAAATAACTTATGACAAAAGCCCCGCCCCCCCCCACCCCCCCAAAAAAAAGTACAGCTTTGTAATAGTTTGAGCCAAGAAAATCCATAATTTAACGGTTGACTACACACCCCACGCGACCAAAATGATGCCTTTTAGTACAGCTAAAGTGCAGATCAAGCGGGATGTTTCAAATTTTTTTGTACCATGCGAGCCTCTTAAGAGTCTGCTAGCTAAGGGATTCCGCGCAAAAAAAAAAAAAGGGACCGCGCCGCCCTGAAGTCCAGGACGTGGAGGAAGGCAATGGCAGCAATGGCCTCCGAAAACCAAGAACAAAAGAATCCCTGAGGTGCACATTCAGCTATGTTGTTACGGCTCGTTCTGCTTCCCGTTCTTGGGTTTGGTTGTGAGTTCTCTCGGCGTGATTTGGTGTCGGCGACGCCTTCACGCGAGCGCCCAAAGGAGAGTTTGGACTTCAGGCAATGAAGGAGATCACGGCTTCCTCCATATTGCGATGGGTACCACCAAACACCCTTAAAAAAAAAACCTACGCACAAAAGTTTTGGATAATGGGCTTTTGGCTGAAAATTCAGATGAACCTAAAATGCACTTTACAGTTGAACTTAACTGGACATTCTGGACACTTCTGAACTGTTCCGTTCCAGTACGTTTTGCCCAACTTTCTTTACAACTCAGCACCCGAAATAGCCCGAACGTTTTGTGAGCAGTGTCCATCTAGAGTCCAACTTTCACAGACTCCATTACAGACATCTTGATGGCTTCCTCCAACATCTGATTGTCCGTAAAGGTGGCGGGCGGTTCCGGGACGGACTCGGAGAGGCCAATGAGGGACTCCAGGAGGCAGGTGCCTGGGTCGCTGGGCGCCGGCAAGCTCGGGTAGCTCGGCAGCTGGAAGTGGAAAAAGTTGTCCATGTGCTCGTACTCCTTAAGCGAGTTGTAGAGCGAGCTGTGCCCCAGGCAGGGGAAGCCGTCGAAGAACTCCAAGTCCGACTCGGAGGACAGGCTCAGGTCCATGTTGTAGCTGGCCGAGCGATCGACGGTGGGCGAGGGCGTGTGCGGGATGCCGCCGCCACCGGGGAAGAGCCCGTTGCCCTGGTTGGCGTTCTCGTCCAAAAGTTCCGACACGGCCCGATTGTCTAACAGCGTCGCGTTGTCGTTCTCGTCCGCAAAGTCCGCCACGCTGAAGCTGTTGAACGTCTGCGCCGTCGTCGCCGCTTGCCGGGAGCACGCGCCGTGATTGGCGGTGTCCCCGTTTTCCGCGTCGTTGAAGCTGAGGATGCGGCTCAGGCCTTTCTCGTCCACGTCCAGCGCCGCGCGCCGCCTGCACGGGCTCCCGCCGCCCTCGGAGTCGTCGCTCTGGGCCGACGAATCCGACGAGTCTGTCATGTCGCTGCTGCAACTATTGTCCCCGGCGGATGCTAGCTCCGAGCTGAAGGGGAAGGGGTGCGCGGGGGCCACTGGGGCGGCGCCGGACATGACCTCGGCTTCTGCCGCCGCCTCCTCGCTGCTCGACTGCTCCTCCAGTCGCTTCTCCAGCTCCAGCTTCATGATGGTGTGGATGTAGTGCGTCTGCACCCGGGTGGAGTTGAACTCGATGCGGCCTTCTGTGTTCCCGCAGCCATCCTTCGTGCAGCCACACGGGAACGACGAATGGTCCATCTGTCGGAGGAAGAACCTGTTACTTGCCGATACCTTACTTCCATACCTCAACATTATTCGTTGAACAGAAGCCAAGTAGCCGACCACTACTTCTCCAACAGAATCCCACCTCGATTTTTAGTCGCCCAACAGAAGAAACTTACTTGCCCAATAAAAGCCTAGCATACGAGTAGCCTACCACTATGTGTCCAACAAAAGATTGTCCGACAGAAACCTGAATTTTCATGACGGAGGTCTGCAGTTACACGACTTATCCAACAGAAGTCGAACACCACTTGGCTTGTCCGACAGAAGCCTGCCGCTACCTTACTTGTCCGAGAGAAGACTGATTTGCCCAACAATAGCCGAGCATACAAGAATCCTCCCACTACTTGTCCAACGGAAGACTAAAACGATATTACATCTCGAACATCAATATTACTCATCCAAAACAAGGCTCCTTTTACATTTCAGAAGTCAAATTCGTTGTCTAACACAAGCTTGTCACTTGTTGTAACTTGGTCAACAGAAGTCTTGCTAGCCCAGGGGTCGGCAACCCAAAATGTTGAAAGAGCCATATAGGACAAAAAAAAACAAAAAAAACCCCAAAAATAAATATGTCTGGAGCCGCAAAAAAAAAAAAGCCTTCGATAAAACTTACAATGAAGTAAACAAGTGCTGTATGTATGTAGGAGACTGGATGTCTCAGAATTGTTTGTTATTTATTCCTTTGTTGTGTGTTCACAAATGCCCCCATAGAATTTATTTTGTGATTTCCTCGCTTGATTGTTTTGTTTTGGTGCATTATTTTCGCTTTTCTTAGTGTCAGTCTTAGTGTCAGTGAAGTCATCATGAATTTCCGTTTTTCGGAGGCTGTCTTTGAACGCCTCTCGAGTTGAACGAGAAGAGAGAAGGCACGGAGTCGGACGCAGACGTGTCTGTGTTTGTCGAAACTGTTAAAAGCATAAATAAATTGTAAGTTTTAAAAAAACAACAACACCACAGCTCTCCTTTTTCGGAGTGGCAACATGTATCTATATCTATTTGACCTATATTAGCCAACTATCAAAATCTTTTTTCATTTTCAAACATTTTTTATAAAGCTCCAGGGAGCCACGAGATGTCGCTAAGGAGCCGCATGCGGCTCTGGAGCCGCGTGTTGCCGACCCCCGTGCTAGCCCAACAAAAGCCTACCGCTACTTAGCCAACCTGAAGAATGCAGCTACATGACTTGGCTAACGGAAGCCCAAATCCGAAATGTTCTCTCACCTGACACTTGATGCCAGCCAGGCTGCAGCCGCATGTTTCAGGCTCGCAGAACCCCTGACAGTCGCACCCGCAACGTTCCCGGGAGATCCTCAGCTCATGCAGCTGTCTCTTCTCCTCTTTGTCGACCTTCTTGACGCCGGCGGCTTTGAGCAGAGCGTAGCGCCGCTTGGACGGGTACGGTTGTAGGAAAGAGCCCTCCTCCAGGTTGGCGCCGCTCACGTCCACGTCCCGCTCGGGGATGTCGTCCACAGTCAGCCGCTCAGCCTCTTCGCTGTCCTGGGTTCCGTTCTTGGTCAGCTGCGGAAGACGCGATGGGTCAACGGGAAACCCAAACAAACCCTCTTCATCCTCATCTGGTTCGACTTCTTCACTCACCTTTAATTTAAGAGCCTCCAGCTTGTCTTCCCGCAGCCGGTTGAGCAGTTTCTCCCGGCGTAGCAGCCGCTGCTCGGCGGCGAACTCGGTCAGCGTGTACGTGCGGCGCGCGCTGTGTCGTGGTGTCATGCCAAGGGTGCAGCCCCCTCGGCTGGGCACGCTGGTGAAGCCCTGGCACCGCGGGAAGAAGAACACCGTCACCTGGTCAAAGGTGACGTTGCTCCGTCGCGCTCGCTTGGATTTCTTGAGGATGGACGTCGCTGTGGAGGGGAGAAAAGAAGAACGGGATTTATTTTCCTCCTTTTTGCTGACACTGCTTCTGTCTGCCACTAGAGGGCAGAATATCCCTTCAGTTGAATTGACAAGCTCTGCACAACAGCGTCGAAAAAAAAACATCCGCACAAATCAACCTTTCGCAGCTCAATCTGGGGAATAAACGCTGAAGGCTTCAGAGGGAGTGCAAGGTGGGGGGGGGGTGCAATCGCCGTAAAATGACACGTTTCCCACAACAGTGCCGTAACAGGCCAAAGTTCAAAGGTACACATGCACGCAAGTGGAAGCAAAACTATCGGATGCTTATTAGAAATTCCACGTCCGAGAACCAAAACCCCCCACCTTGGAAATCCATGACTACACTCCACATGTGCTGGCTATTATCTTTGAGTACTGGGGGTTTTCTCCGCACTGTCACCGAATTCCTGGAAACAGCAGCAATGGGCGCACTTGAGGTAAACTCCACTCATCTGTGGACTCTGGGACGGGGCAGTCTTTCCTGAACTTCTTAAACAAAAAAAGGTCGAAACAAAGCCAAGAGGTCTTTTGTTTTGGGACTCATGTATGTAAGTCAAACTGAAGCTTCATAGTTTCATCACATACTGCTCCATTTTAGGTTCTTTGCCCTTATAAACTTCATGGATTCTATTTATAACTTCTTTAAATAAAATTATCTCGCGGGGCGGTGGACAGCGGTGGGAACAGTTGAGAAGGCCATCTCTAGAGAGTAGCTGAATTTATGAGCACCTTCCCATATTGGCCACTTCCTTTGCTACGACACACCAATCTGCTCCTAGGGTTTATGTTTGCACGCCTTCCTTTCTGCATCCCACGCCCGCCGGGCCTCTTTCAGCACCTGTGCTGGGTGCGGGGCCAACCCTTCGCACAACGGGCCGTGTGTGTTAGCCGGCGTTTTGGCAGGCGGCCAGGGCCGCTCTTCCTGGAAACCTCATTTGCCCTCATCGCCTATAGCGACCCTGTTGTGATGTGCGCTTCGTTCGGTGTATATTTGGGAAAATAATGACGAGAGATGAATTTTCTTCACTTAACTCAAACACGTGGCATGTTTATTTGCCGACTGCACAGAGAGCAGCCGCTTCTCTTCACCACTGAACAGGAAGAAGACATTTTTTGCACCGAATACAGACCGGATATGGCGTAGTAGTTTGGGTTGCCAGATCCGTTCTAAATAAACAAGTAATATGTCCCAGTGACACATTTCAATCGTAAAGAACACATCACAGCATTACAGAAATGAGGATACAAGATATCGTTTCTTAACAGACCCCCACCACGATTTTACGGAAAAAAAAAATATTTGGACCGACTCGCATCGAAGCAAGTAAAAACAAATGCTTTAAAACATAGAACTCACCATTGCGCCACATGTAATTAATTAACGGGAGGTCTGCACTTGTTACTCTTTAGTGAGCTGGTCCCATCGTGGGTTAATGTGAGACAATTTGATCAGAGGTCTGTTACTTATGTCCACTGCATGCCGCACTTCTGAAAATACCGCTTGTTGGAATCAAGGTGTTCACTGCTTTTTTTGGGGGGCAGTTTTGAAGGCTTCATTGCCTCACTCACGATCCTGACGCCACATATTATACAGAGCTGACTTGGAGTGATAAATCGATATTTTCAGTAAGACTGTTGATATTGTCACTTCAATGCAGCTTTTTTTTCCACCGTGGAAGTCGTAGGCTCTTCTTGTGTCTGTTTTAGGAGCGTCACATGGTTGATAATTGAGTGTAAGTGCCACAAGATGCTGGCAAAGCACGACTCGAAACTCCTCAAATCACTTCAACATAGTTCCCCGGTACCATTATGCCAACAAGGCACTACACCAAGTTTCTCGACTCACTTCAACAAAGCAAGGTACCCGGAGATGGCGACTAAGCCTTCTTTTTAAATTAGACACTGCTTTGACCTGAGCACAAAAACACCACAGCGTGACACAATTTAAAAACTAATGAAAAAAAATTATAACTTAAAAAAAAAAAACAGGGCGTCTGAACGATGAACTGATTGATTTTCAAATAAAACTTCTTTCAAACTCTGAGGATCAATAGAATGTGTTTTGCTCAGTGTGTTCGTGTGGCCTGGTACCAAATGGCCTGCAGCCAGGTTCCTGGTTGTCCTCAAACGGCCTCTCGCCGGACTTTCAGAAAGACCAAAGCGAGGAGTCACCGTATGAAGGGATTCAGCCCTTTGGCCCGCTTTAAGGCAAGAAATAAAAGCGGTATTTAAGTGTTTCATGGGCTGCCAGCGGATAAAATTCCTTTCACCTCCCTCCCGATTCGGGGTTTTTATTACCGGGGCCTCTGCGGAGCCGTAAAGACAAAATATTTTCCGTCGGCCAACTGGACTCACTGTTGATATGCGTTGCCGGGGAGCTGGGGTTGCTGGGGGTGGAATCCAGGGTGTCCGAGTAGCAGCTCTCGCCCTCCGAGTCCCAGGTGGAGCAGGCCGACGAGAGCGAGGAGGGCGAGGGTGACGAGTAGCACGGGTCCTCGCCCACCTCCTCGAACTTCCTCTTTAGAAGCCCGCTCATGGCGCTAGCGTGGACAATCTGGAAGGAACACAACAAGGCCCTCCGTCAATTGAGCAGGCTAAAGATACATTCAGACTATTTTCCACAAATTACAGAAAATACAACTCTCTGACTCTTGTTGGATGTTCTCTTTGGGTGTATTTATGCTAAAGTAAGAGGCTTAAAATAACAGCAATAGCTATGCTAATTTTCGTTAGCTTGTCTGTGGGGTTTCCCTTGTATGTTAGCATTAAGCTAGTTAACCTTTGTTGTGCTAACAATAATGGCAGTTGTATGTTAGCATTAAGCTGGTTAACTTTTGTTGTGCTAACAATCACGACAGTTGTATGTTAGCATTAAGCTAGTTAACTTTTGTTGTGCTAACAATCATGGCAGTGATGCCGTGTTTGAAAGTACTTTGAATGAACATTTTGGGTGGAAACTAAACGGCACGAGCTCAAAAACCTCTCAGTTGGAGAAGTGAAGACTTCACGTTCAGAGAGCGCAGAATACATACAACTTTGAGAGAAAACAAGAACTAGGATGTTTAAAATGACATTCCATACATACAAAATGTGTATTTTATATGACTAACCTTAAGCTAACGCAATACCCAAGTCAGAATTACAATATTTGTTCCTAGGCCATACATTTAACATAATCCCCCTCATTAATAAGAATTCAGTGAAAAAGACAAAGTGAGACAGCAAGTGAGTCCTCTGCTTGTAACCTTGAATAATCGGATTTAAACCGAGGACCCCAGTCATAGAATTGCACACCAGTTTGTCCCAGAACCATCGAAAAATGAGGACAATGTAGCCACGTTCACAGAGTAAAATAATAAAAAATAATAATAATAATAATAAAAGAAATCCAGCTTCTCACATGCAGCGTCTGTCAATATGATCTGACCGCCCCGCGCTTTGCCCATGCGAGTGCACGAGTAGCCCATCTCCTGCTGCCTGCAGCCAGACAGCCACAGGAAGTAATCAATCAGCCACCATTTGCATAAGTCAACAACGAGCAAACCCCTTCACCCCATCGTCGAAATCCCATCTTGGCCTTCCCACTCAAACTGACTCCTTCCCCCTTGTCTCGCTTTTAAATGCGCTCTCACGTGACACCTTTGCAGACAAAGACGTCCGCCCTTCTTCTTCGAAGATGGTGCGCTTGCGCCTAGCACGTCGCGCGCGCGCGTTCAGCGTTCCCGTGAGAGGGAATGCTGCCTCAGCGATAAAAACAATCAATCCTCGGAGAGATGCACACATGCACATACACACATGGGCATAAAAAAAACAACGCGCGCACAATAAGAGCTCTTGACAAGGGAATGCCATTTATTCTCCACTCTCCCAAAACGTTGCTATTAGTGATGTTCAAATGTGCACACTGACTCATTTTGAGCTAATTGCATGCGAATCAATGTGAATTGGACACTTCACATCCGAGTATTTAAGCGGTGCGCATACGGGTACTTTACACAGCGACAATCAGATCTAAATTGAGCATTTCATTCCGGATCAAAGCAAGCCAGCAGATGCCAATAAAAGATGATGTGGGTTGTGTTCTGGGGGGGGGGGGGGGTGAGCGCGGACAATTCGAAGCGTTGTGAAATATTTAACCCTTTCGGGGAGAGCGGTTACTACAGTGGATAGCTTATGTTATCGGGTTACAGCAGGAGTGTCATACCCATTTTTGTCACGGGCCACTTTGGAGTTATGTTTTCCCTCGGCGGGCCGTTACGACAGAGAAACCGAATAAATGGTTAATCATCCCTTCGCATAACTTGTTCACAACCAATTGATGGAGTTTTGAAATCACTCAAGTCAACTATTGGTTAAATTAGGGTTAAAGTTTCTTTTTTTTCAGACAATGGTCTTTTTTTTGGTGGTTTCTCTTCAACTCCTACCTCGCTGACAGTTTCGGGTGTCACGTCAGGCTTCGTCGGAGCTGTCACTGCTTCCTTGTGTCTTAAAAACAGCTATTTGTTTGTTCCTTTATTATTGAAGTGAGTGTAAACGGGGCAACAAAATTATTGCAAAATTGCAACACCATTTATGACACATGCCATTTCAGGACAGATTTTAGCAAAGATCATGCAAGTTGACACGCATGATTTTCTTTCGCGGGCCACAGAAAAATGATGTGGCGGGCCAGATCTGGCCCCCGGGCCTCGACTTTGACACCGTGGGTTACAGGGTGCACGAAAGGGTTAAAGTGGGATACTGGCACATGTTAGAAATTCAGGGTTTTTTTCAGAAACAGCCCAACAACAGAAGGTAAGGTCAAAGGAAATACTTTTTTTTTTTTTTTTATGACTCTATAAAGCAGTCGTTTGACAATGTCTTTGGAGTGATGTCTAAATCACTTACAGCTGTTTTAAAAGGGCTTTCTGGAAAGCATTCTTGTTATTTTTGGTCGGGAGGAGCGGTGGGGGGGGGCATACCTGCTATTTTGCTTATTGTTTAAAAGCAGAAGTGATTATCAGGGGGCTAATTGCAGGGTTAGCATTCGTGCGGCACGTTAAATGCCGGTTCTCAAGCACGTTGGCTATTAAAGACAAAGCGAATGCCAAGCGAGGCTTGCTGGGAGGCCGGCGGATTCTGAGAAACCTTGGCGTAAGCGGGCGACTAAACAAGATCCCC